TTAACTCAGTACTGAGGTCACTCCTGAGGTTCACCCTTCAGCCAAAGATTAGACAGGCCTATGAAACAAACAAAACACATAGTTCAATCATGTATACGAGACTAAATGGGCACATCAGCCCAGGGGCAAGGACGAGAATGCAGGAGGGGACAGGAAAGCTAGATGAATGGAAATGGGGAACCCAGGGTTGAGAAGGGGAGAGTGTTGACAAGTAGCAGAGTTGGCAACCAAAGTCCCAAAACAATATGTGTATTAACTGTTTAATGAGAAACAAATTTGCCCTGTAAACTTTCACCTAAAGCACAAAAAGAAAAAAGGCAAAAAAACAAAACAAAACAAAACAAAATGAGCAATATAGATTTTACTGAAGATATTCTGGGAAAGACATACTGCTTATATCGTTTATCACCTAAGTTGCCATTAGATAACTCTTTTAAGCTCACCCCAGATCACTTAGTGGAGGGGGGTATTGATGATAAATAGGTGCTCAAACATCTTTTTCTCATGCGAATCATTTACTTTTTGCAATAGAAAAATGTGTCCCATTGTGCTTATCTTATGAATGATTCAGTATTATGATAATTTTGTTGGATTTTAAATTCTTTTAAACAATACTTAATTCACTACTTCTCAAAGTTTGGTCCATGGATCCCTGGGAGTCCCTGAGAAAATTTAGGAGGTCTGTGAGGGGCAAAACTATTTTCATAATAATACTAAGACATTATTTGCCCTTCCCAGTGGGTTTAACATTTGCACTCATGATGCAAAAGCAATGGTGGGTAAAACTCTGTGTGGCCAGTATGAATCAAGGAAGTTGCAATTAAAAAAAAAAACGGCTTTAAAAGCCAGTTTCATGTAAGGTGTTCTTAACCTTTAAGTATGTGATTTTTTAATATTCTGTGTAACAAAAATGGTAAATCTGCATGAAGTACTTCTGCCGCATATTGAATTAGGGTGGTTGAATCAGGGACAGCACTTGTGTGACTGTTTACACAGCAGGCCGAATTAGCCACTTTCCTTTATGGAACAGTATTTTTGCTTGAAGAACAACTGACAAATTATCATTTTCACACTCAGGTATTTGGCAGACATTTCCCTGAAAATCAACAAAGTGAGCCTGTTATGTCAAGGGCAACAACTGACATTATTTACTGCTAATAATAAAATTCAAGCATTTAAGCAAAAAATAAGAGGTTTAGAAACCTGAGTCTACCACCATGAGCAGATTTGAATGTAAAGAGTAAATTGATATATTTTAAGATGCCATATTGCAGATGATGTTTAAGAAACTATAACTTGTCTAGTTTTGATGTAGTATGAAAGAAGAATATCCAGAATTATCTGAAAAGACTGTTATTCTCTTTTTCAACTTTACATCTGTGTGAGGCTGGATTTTCTTCTATATTTCAAACAAAACAATACTGCAGTGGACTGAATGCAGAAATAGAGATGAGGATCTAGCTGTCTTTGGTTAAGTCAGATGTTAAAATGAATAGCAAAAAATGTTAACTAATGTCATTCTTCTGGCTATAAAATTTTTATTTTGGAAAATATATTTTTCATAAAAACATCATTTATAATAACATGTTGGGTTTATTATTGATATTTTAAAATGAATTAATAATTTTTGAAAAATCCTGTTTTAATTTCTAATGCAGTACCCACATAAACAAAATCTCTTGGGGGGATTGCCAGTAATTTCTAGGAGTGTAAAGGAGTCCATTTACAAAACATTATAGAACTGCTGCTTTAGTGCATGGGTCCAAGGAAACCATGAAAAAGCTTAATTCTCAGCTCTCCAAACTTAATTTTGATCAGCATTTCCAACCTTTTCTTCAACAAATTAATTTTGGTGGCTAGTCACGTATATAAAATATAGACTGGTTTAATTCCTCTCTCAACTTTTTTTTCTCCCTTTCTTTTTAATTTCCATCCATACATCCTGTGATAAAAATGTAACAGGTGGCTCTTTTGCCGCGGCTGTAGGGATGGAAACATCTGCCCCACGTGCCGGAAGCCAGCTGGTGGCAACGACAGCGCGCCACCCCACGTCCCACCACGCCGAGACCCTGTGGGTGGCCTCGCAAGATGAGCTCACTGACATGGCTGCGTCCAGTCAAGGAAACTTTGAAGGAAATTTTGAGTCTCTAGGCCTTGTGGAATTTGCTGAAAACCAGCCACGGTGGCGCAAGCTGTTCAGGCAAGAATCTGGGCCCTCTGCCAGAAAGTATAGTGCGGCCACCCAGCTGCTCACTGGAAGCATCACTGGATGGTGCACGGGTTTCATATTCCAGAAGGTTGGGACGTTGGCAGCAACAGCCGTGGGAGGTGGATTTTTTCTGCTTCAGCTTGCAAATCATACTGGCTATATCAAGGTTCACTGGCAGCAAATAGAGAAGGATATGAAGAAAGCCAAGGAACAGCGGAAAATCTGTG